AGTATAGGCAGTTTCCTGCTAAAAGCAGTTCCGCACCTGGCATTTTGCACATATAGTATTTAACCAATTACACCCATGTTGTCAATTTATGGAACATACTGTACATTGGGCTTGCAGCACACAAAGAATTTGATGTTAGTCTGGGTACTGATAGGCTCTGCAGAAGATCATCCCTGTCTACTGGCTTCCAGATGGATTGCAGAGCCCTCTCCTCTCTCCAGGGTCCCTCAGCTTCTGGTCAGTACCACCATAGTGGAGGACAAAGGTCAAAGCAGATCTTGGTTGAATAAGCCAATGGGAGAGAAGTCAAAAGCATGGAATTTCAGAACTGAAAGCAACCTCAGAGGTCATCTACTCCAACACTATACCTGAGTAATCAATAAACAACAATAATAATGAGAGGTATTCATAGCATTCTAAGATTCGAAAAACTCTTTACAAATATTAACTCACTTGATCCTCACAACAATCCAGTGAGAGACTCTATTATTATCCTCATTTTATAGATGAGAAAACTGATTATAGACAGAGGCTAATTGACTTTTCTAAGGCCAATCATTCAATAATCATTCATTATGAACATACTATCTGCCTGGCACCATGCTAAGTGCTGAGGATACAAAGAAAGGCAAAAGACATTAGGAGACAATGAGAAAACAACTATGTTCAAACAAGATGTATTCAAGATAAATGAGGATAATCAATAAATGGAAGGCACTAGCATTAAGAAGAATAAGGATCTTCTTATAGAAAATGGGATTTTAGCTGGAACTTGAAAGAAGAAAGGGAAGCCAAGAGTCAGAGATGAGAAGGGAAAACATTCCATGCATGGAAGACAGCCAGGGAAAATGCTCAGAGCCAGGAGACGCAGTGTGTGTCTCTAAAAACAGTGAGGAGGTCAGTGTCACTTATCACAGAATAGATTGGGAAGAAAGTGTAAAGTTTAAGATTGTAAAGGTAAGAAAGGGTCAGTTTTTTAAGGGCTTTGAAGGACAAATAATTTTATTTTATATTTTATCCTGGAGGGGAAGGTAGAGGGAGAGAGGTAACATAGACAGACTTGCACTTTAGGAAGATAAATTTGGTAGCTGAGTAGAGGATGGGCAAGAGGGGGAAGGCAAAGGCTAATTGGCCAATTGCTACAATAATCCAAGCTTGAGGTGATGAGGGCCTGAACCAGTGGTAGCGGTGTCAGAGGACAGAAGAGAGCATATAAGAGGGATGTAAGGAAGGTAAAATCAATAGATCTTGGCAACAGGTTGGATATGAAAGGTGAGAGAGAGTGAGGAATTGTGGACAATACCTAAGCTTTGAGCCTAGATGACTGGAAGGATGGTGATACTCTCAACAGAAATAAGGAAGTTCAGAAGGTGGGAATGGAGGGGAGAAATTGGTGAGGAAAGAAAAGTTCAGTTTTAGACGTTGAGTTTAAGATGTCTTGTGACAGAATACTATTGTCCTATAAGAAATGATGAGCTCAATGATCTTAGAAAAACATGGATAGATTTGCACAAAATGAAGACTGAAATAAGCAGAACCAAGAGAACATTGTATACAGTAATGGCAATATTGTTTTAAGAACAACTTTGAGTGAATAAGTCATTGCAACTATAAAGGACATATGAAGGGAGATGCTATCTGCATCCAGAGAAAGAACTGATGAATAGAAGTATGTATAGAATGATTGTGTGTGTGTGTGTGTGTGTGTATTCACATATTTGTGTCTAATGATGGCCATCTCTAGGGCAAAGGAGGGGAGGGAAGAAAAAAAGAAATTTGCATGATAACTTTATTACATATTTAAAAGGAATAGCAAGTTGTACATACTAGATTTGGAGTTTCATGTGCAATCATCCTTTTTTTCTTATGCTGTGCTATGTAAATGCTTGCTTTATTCCATAAATTAAAAATAAATAAATAAATAAAGTTTTTAAGATGTTTAAAAAGCAGTTGGACATGTGAATCTGGAGGTCAGGAGAGAGAGTAGGGCTAGATAAGTAGATCTAAGAATCATCAGCATGGAAATGATAATCGAATCCATGACAGCCAATGAGATCAGCAAGTGGATAGTTTAGAGGGAGAAGAGGAGGATCCCTAGGACAGAGCCCTGGGAAATGTCCACCTTTAGCAGGTGTACTGTAGATAAACATTCAACAGAAGACTGAGAAGATGTCAGAAAGGTAGGAGGATAGCCAGGATAGAGCAGAGTCACAGAAACCTAGAGAGAAGAAGGCGTCAAGGAGAAGAGGAGTAGTATCAAGCTAGCGTCTCAAGAACTCCTCTTCCTGACTCCAGGTCCAACCTTCTATCCAGTCTGCCATTTCACTACCTATCAGTAAACAAGAATCCCCTCTATAGCATATGCAACAATTGTCTGTCACTTTAAATGTCTCTAGTGAAGGGGAAGCTACTAACTGCCTCTTTAAAAAGTCAATTTCATCTTGGGATGCCTCTAATTGGTTAGGAAATTTTCCCTTACATCAAACCTGAAACTTCCATTCCTAGTTCGGTCCTCTGGGGTCAATCACAATAAAATCTAATCTCTCTTCTACACATTGAATGATAGGTCTTCAAAATTTTGAAGGAAACCCCAAATGGGGTCACGAAGGATCAGAAACAAATGAAATAACTGAACAACACACTACCCTTTGTGAGCCTCCTACAGAGAGTCGTGGGAGGAACAAGATTCATGTGAAATGTCAAAGTCCTGGGACATTGGACATTAATTTAGTCCTATCAGTGTAGTAAAGTAGAAATGGCCCTGAGTATGATGTCACAAGGTCAGTGTTTGTGTCCTGTCCCTTCCCTTGACTAATTCTGTGACCTGAGGCCAAATATTTAGCCTTCCTGATAACTGTTTTGCATTTGCCAAAGAAAAGAGCATTTGAAGTACTACTCTATAGGTTGTAATGAGAATTAGAGGAGATAAAGTAGGAAAGTGCTTCAAAAACTGTAAAATATTAGGTGAATATTATTCATCATTTATAGTCACCTTTCATGTTCAGTCCTTAAAAATGGAAGCTAAGTGGGGGGAAGGTTCTGATCTATCCTACCTCTGATTACTACTTGTGTGACCTTGGACAAGTCACTTAATTTCTTTAAGCCTTAATTTACTCATCTGTAAAATGAAGGGTGTTGGACTAGAAGTCCTCTAAAGTCTCTTCAAGTTAATAATAATAATAGCTAGTATTTGTATAGCACCTTCTATGTGCCAGGTACAGTACTAAGCACTTTACAGATAATTTCTCATTTAATCTTCACAACCCTGGGGGGTAGGCACCATTCTTATCCCTTATTTTATAGCTAAGGAAACTGAGGTTAAATAAATTGACCAAGGTCACATAGCCAGTAAGTGTTACCCTGGGAGGTAGGTGCTATTATTATCCTCATTTTCACAGATGAGGAAACTGAGGCAAACAAAGGTTAAGTGACTTACCCAGGGTCATACAGATAAGCGTCTAAGGCTGGATTTGAACTCCAGGCCCAGGGCTCCAGCTATTATTCCACCCAGCTACAGTTCTAGATCTGTGATCCTAATGATAATTGTAATCCCACCAGGCAATGGATATAGAATCAGAGAGTAGATTCTACTTCGAGGTCTGAGACTTACTTTTTATAGATGTATGAAAACCCCTGGACCTCTTTGAATAATGGCTTCCTAATCTATATGATTTCCATTAACCAGTTCATAGAGTTGTGGTAAAGCAAGAGCTGTACAAATGTAAATTAATGATAATTTACTACTTATGCTGACCATGTCATAGCTGAGATGAAAAGACTTCGCTTTATGTGTCTCTTCAAGCCCCATCTCAAGGACTATTTTAGAATCTTGGCTACCCTTCTAGAAAATGAGAAGCTAAAGAGACAAAGAAGACCCTTGGCTGTCAAGAGGAATAATGGGTTACCTGGGCTTTAAGAGAACACTTTCTGATGCTGTCAGGTGAGAGACTGTCTCCCTCTGCTTGTTTGCACTATGCATAGACTGCAGTTTCAGGAACACTGTAAAGGCTAAGGATACTGGAGGCAGCTTGATTGTCAGCAGGGTGTGAGGCCATGGTTTGGAGCGATAATCTCTACTCAATTTGAGGGTAGGTTTGGAGCTTTGGGGTATAACTCCCCAGAGGATCCTAGAAGGAGTAGTATAGTGGATAAAGGGGTGGTACAGTGGATAAAGAACAGCAGGCCTGAGTTCAAATCCAGCCTTTGACACTTATTATCTGTATGACCCTGGGCAAGTCACTTAACTTCTGTTTGCCTCAGTTTCCTCATCTGTGAAAATGAAAGCAATAATAGCATCTGCCTCCCGGGGTTGTTGTGAGGATCAAAAGAGATAATAATTGTAAAGTGCTTATCACCATGGCTGGCACATAGAAAGCATTTTAAATGTTAGCTATTTATTATTATTATTATTTACCCTTTTATTTGAACCTACATCATAGGGGGAGGGTAATTGAGAAGTAAGGCATGGGAACAAGCACATCCCTGATTCAGTCAGCAAAATTGAGGAGACTTGAATCCCTATAATGATCTCCACTGAGCAATTCAGCATTTTAAAGATGGTTAACAATGAAGCTATAGATGTAATTATCTGATTGAAATACTTCTAATCCCTTCCTCTACCCCCACCTCCACCAGGGGGAAATGCCCAGAGCAGCACAAGCAGAGTCAGAGCTCCAGTGTATATCATTTAGAGAGTTTTGTTTGTTTTGGTGGGGAAGGTGTTGTGTCACACTAGAATGGACCACCATTAAAACCATAGCATTGGGGTAAAAAGATTTTATTTTTAATTGGTCATTGTGTTGATCAGAGTTCTTAAGTCTTTGAACACTATTCATTTCTGCAATGGCATTATAGAACAAAAATTGTTATGCTGGAGCTGCTTATTTCATTTTCCATCAATTCATCCAAATATTCTCTGGAACCGTCTCTTGTGTCATTCCTTTTGGCACAATATTGTTACATTACATTCACATGCTGACTTTTTTCAGTCATTTCCCCAATTGATGGGCACCCCGTTAAATGCAAATGAAGGTTGGTTCCTATGGGTTTGGAATCAGGTTTACGTTTTCAGCTCAGTGAAAGGAGAAGTTCCTAGTGCCCATGCAATGGCAGTCCAAGAAGGCAGCATCACAACTAACTACTTGAACCTTCACGCCCATGCTTGCTGCAAGGAAATTTCCAATGAGAAAATAAAGGCAGCAAAAGAGACACCCCTGAATCAATTTTGCAAAAAGCCACAAAGTAAAACTATTGCCTCAAAAATGCCTATGAAAATGCCTTCCAGAGGAGGCCTTTTGAGTTCCATTACCCTAATTAAAGTCATCTTCTAAATCGTTATAGTAAAAATTGTGAGGAAATAAAATAAAGAATTGGCATAGGGTTCTTAGATAAACATATCACATTAATATTTTATTCAGCTAACTCCTGGGTCATTCTGTCTACTAGATATTTATACTTTAGAAAATTCTATACTAGCCAGGTATACAATTTATGCTGTTCCTCATTTCTTATTTAAAAAAATTCAAAAATTTATTCATTTAATATTTGAAGCACTTTAAATCTACATAGCACTGAGGAAGATGCAAAGCTTAGATAACTCATGGAGCTTACCTAGTGGACATCTGATTATACTACCTCCTCTTCCATCCAGTAAACTCCATTGGCTCCCAGTTGCCTCTAGGATCAAATATAAAATCCTCTGGCTTCTGAAATTTTTTGGAACTTGGCCCCTTCTTACCTTTCCAGTCTCTTTACACCTTACTTTCCCCCACATATTCTGTGATTGCATGACACTGGCTTCCTTGCTTTTCCTCTCACAATACACCTCATCTCTGGACTCAATGCATTTTCACTGGCTGTCCCTAATGGCTAGAATGCCCTCCCTCTTCCACCTCTGCTTCCAGCTTTCCCTGGCTTCCTTCAGGTCTCTCCTAAAATCTTACTTTCTGCAAGAAGTCTTTCTCAGTTCTACCCTCTTCCTAGAGCGAGTAACTTTCCTCTGAAATTGTCTTCCTTTTACTTTGTATGTACATAGTTGTTTACATGTTGTCTCCCCATTAGATAGTAGCTCCCTGAGGGCAGGGACTCTGTTTTTCTTTTTATCTGCAGGATTTAGCACAGTGCCTAGCACACAGTAGGTACCTGATAAATGCTTGTCAGCTTGTTGACTAGGAAGGGGTTAAGACACAAAAATCATTAAATGCGCAGTATTACATGATAAGCATATGTGAAGTTAGGGAGAACTTTTGATGACACCAACATGACTGACTTGATGAGGAATCCACTGAGGAGGACCAGCAGCTATCTTTATAATTTATGGTCTGAGAAAGTTACCTGGAATACAAAGAAATTGAATGATTTACCCTGGGGTCACACAGATTGAGTGATTTACTCAAGGTCTCATAGTTAATCCTTGTGAGAGACAGGGTTTGACTCCAAGGATGGCTCCATTAAACCATGCCTCCAAAATATTTGAAAGTTGTAAAATGGAGTTATACATGATTAGAAGTGAAAAGTCATTTGTTCTTTCAGCAAAAGTCAGGAGACAGGAAATCTCAGTGTTTGTATTCAGATAGAAGAGTAGTTAACTGGCTCTGACTAGAGGATTTGAGTACATGATTACATGACTACATTGAGTACATGATGGTATACATATGTATGTATATATGTAGAAAGTGGATAGTATCTTCCTTCATAGATCTTTTGTAGTTGATTTGAGTATTTCCAATACTCAGAATAACTTGATCATTCACAATTATTCTTCAAACAATATTGCCATTACTGCATACAACATTCTCTTGGTTCTGCTCATTTTGCTCTTCATTATTTCATGCAAGTCTTCCCACGTTTTTCTACAAATCAACCGGGTTATCATTTCTTACAGCACAGTAGTATTCCATCAGAATCACATACCACAACTTGTTTAGCCATTCCCCAGTTGATGGGCTCAATTTCCAGTTCTTTGCCACCACAAAGAGAGCTGCTACAAATATTTTAGACAATGTAGGTTCTTTTCCTTTTTCTCTGATCACCTTGGAAAACAGACTAGTGGTAATGCTGGGTCAAAGGATATACACAATTTTATAAGTCTTTGGGTATAATTCCAGATTGCTCTCCAAAATGGTTGGATCAGTTCATGGTTCCACCAACAATGTACTGGTTTCCCATTGTGACACTGTTTTCTCATTGTTCTACTCCTAGATATCTAACCATTCCTCCACCTCTTATGTTGGTTCATCTCTTTCATCTTTTCTAAAAATTTCTTTATTTTTATAAGTATTTATTATGTCTTCATCCCACTAGAACAGTTAAAAACAAAGCCCTATACAATTTAAAAAAAACTAACCCTGAAAAGAAGTACACATAGTCCAGCAAAATTCCCACAATGACTATGTCTAATTCTGAATTTGAAGGTCTGTCACCTCCTTGGCAGGACTTTCCATCTTTTAAGCGTGTATGACCCCACTCTATTCTGCACCTTCCTCCTTTCTCTAAATCCTTCCTTTCAGTGATTTTTCTTCCCCAAGCTTTAATTATAGCCTTTAGCATAATGTCTTGCATATAGTAGGCACAATAAATATTTGTTGTTACTTGTTGAACAAGTATGTAAGTGATTAAGTTAATTTCTCCTGCAAAGGTGTCCACTTTGAATGGGATAGCTTCCTTTTAGGTGTCTAACTTGATTTTCTTATTAAAATCTCAGTCATTAAATTGAAGATTTGGAAAAAACTTGCTTAGAGTATAACTATTATAAGTCTTACATCTTAGAGAGGAGAGGTTAAGAGACTTACCCCAAATCTTGAAATTCATTAGTGGCAGAAATGTAGGTGAAACTGAGGACTTCCAATTCCTAATACAGTATGATTTCCATGTTTGCATGATCGTGAATTCCTGAACTCACTTGGTTTGGTGTTCTTCTTATAAGTCAGCAATAACAGGAATACTCCCGATCTGCCACTCCTCTGGCTCAGCTAAAATTCAATGTGCCACCTAGTTAGTCTCTACCCTTGCCTTCTGGCTTCTTTTACTTCCTTTAAGAATCACCTTAAATCTCATCTTCAACTGGGAATCTTTCCCAGTAGCCCTCAACCCCCTCCCTTAAAGCACTATATAAATCCTAGCTATTACCACCGTCATCATTACTCTTATGATTATTATCAACTGATTTACAACTTGTGGCAATATCAAGGAAACTGAATCTTATCCTCTGGTGGTATCTATAGTAAAGTTCTTCATTACCAAGGTAATCAACCTGATAACTTTCATGAGCTCCAAAGATTGTCTTATTTTAAGTTACATTATAAGATATTGACTGTAATGGCCAATAGCATTTTAAAAAATCAAATAAATAGAAATTTTAAAAACTTAATGTAGTCATCATCCCTTACCCAGCTGTCTTAAGGTGAAGAGGAGAAAGGAACACTTCTTTATATGGCAAAGGTTAGCACCAAGATATACCACAAATTTTCCTTTCCAGTTAACCATGAAACTCCTTTTCTTTTCAATAAAGCTGCATGAGTTCCCAAAGTTGTCATCTGAATTAGCAATTAGGGCTCTCTGGGTAAGGTTTGCTCTGACTGCAAACTTAAAAAGCAAATTGAATGTGGATTTTTCAGTGTTTTTTTTAAATAATTCTTTACTCCTTTTTTAATACCTCTACCAAAAAAAAGTTTTTCGCATCAAGAAACATGCTGAAGTTGACATCAAGCGCGTTTTTCTCAACCCCATTTTGAGTTTACTAAGTTTGATTTTGCATAAGGAATCATTAGTATTCAAAAAGTAATGGGATACTCAGAGTAGACATGTAAAAGTAGGTCAATATATAAAGACATTCTCTCAATGACGCTTTTATTACTTAAAGCAGTAGTGCATTCCAGACCACTTGTGTTTGGAATTTCAACATGTAATTTATCAAATAAAGATATGGGATTCATAAGTGAGCTCCTCAGTGAAGAGATGCAGTAAGTTTTCATGAAATCTATTAACAGAGAACTGAAGCACATTTTAATTATGGACCATTATTTTTTTTTCACCAAATGTTAAAAGTTAGTGGAGTCCCTCAGCTGCTAATGCCTTTTCAGTATTGCCAGTTCTTTCCTTCCAGGTTTCAGAACATTCAGTTGACTGATAATCATGTAATCCTGAAAGTTATGAAGGAGCAATTTAAGTTCTTAGGGAAGACGACTTGACTGAGAACATAAGAGAATGGAAAAGGCATCAAGAATGCGGAGAATTCATAAAAAGAGCTGTGTGCCTAAGAGGAAAGTCAGCCTTCTTTGGAATAGCACTCTAACAAAACCATAAAGGACTTTAAAGCATATAGACCAGCCCTCTAATTTTAGAGCTGAATAAACACAGAGGTAAAGCGTCTTAACCTAGAGCAAGTAGCTGAAAGAGAATTCAAACCCAAGTCTTCTGATTTCAAATCCAGCACTCATTCCTTACCATTTTCCATGTATCTGAGAGCGGGAGAGGGGAAGGTAAGGAAGCTGAGAGGGAAGAGGAAAGCAGAAGGAAATAAGCATTTATAGAGAGCCTACTGTGTACCAGGCAGCATGCTAAGCATTTTTTTACAAATATCTCATGTGATCCTCAAAACAACACTTTAAGCTAGGTACTATTATTAGAAGAAACTAAGTCAAACTAAGATTAAATGACTCTCCCAGAATCACATGGCTAGTAAGATCAGATTTGAACTCAGGTCTTCCAGACTCCAGGCCCAGCACTCTACCCAGCTGCCTCCAAGAGATCCAATGATACTGACCTCCTTACTATTCCTCAAATAAGATACTCCAACTCCCAACTATGGGCATTTTCTCTGGCTGTCCTCCCATGACTGGAATGCTCTCCCTCTTCATCTCTACCTCCTGGCTTCCCTGGCTTCCTTCAAGTCCTAGATAAAAACCCACCTTCTACAGGAAGCTTTCCCCCCTTCTCTTTGATTCTAGTGCCTTCCCTCTGTTGATCATTCCAGTATATCCTGCATATAACCTGTTGGTACATAATTGTTTGCATGTTGTCTGCTCCATTAGACTGTGAGTTCCTTGAAATTATAAACAGTATTTTGCCTTTCTTTGTATCCCCAGAGCTTAACAGAGTGCATGGCACATAGTAGGTGCTTAATAAATACTTACTGACTGACTGAATTTCAACTACACACAGAGATCAAGCTCATTAAAAGTTCTAAATGAGATCATGCATGCTACTGAATGTATTGGTGCTGCTGAAGAATTGGGGGATGGGGAGAATTAAAGGGAGGGGTCAGTCATCTAAAGACTGTAATTTCAATGTGGGGGTGAAACCTCTGGTATGGAAGCTGCTTCCGTCAATTCAAAACAACTACTCTTCTTAAGCTCAGAGTTGTCTAGGGGTACAAAGCAGTCCTGCTTAGTTCACTGTGCTTCCATTTGGGCAATAATATTACACTGAATTCATTTCCATAATTTGTTTAGCCATTCCCAGTTGATGGATACTCCCTCTGTTCCCAGTTTTTTGTTACTACAAAAGGAGCTGCTATAAATATTTTTTGTATCTATGGATTCCTAAGGGAATGTCTTTGTTGCCATGCAGAGTGGAGACCAGGATAAGCAAGACAGGCAGTCCCCTAGGATGCAAGTGACTTCTGAGAAGGAATAGAATGGGGGAGGGAGGCATGTTTTAATGTGTGTATGTATGTGTGTGTGTGTGTGTGTGTGTGTGTGTGTGTGTTTTGTTGTTGAGTTTTCGTTGTTGTTGTTGTTGTTTTTTGGTGAGGCAATTGGGGTTAAGTGACTTGCCCAGCTAGTAAGTGTTATGCGTCTGAGGCCAGATTTGAACTCAGGTCCTCCTGACTCCAGGGCCAGTGCTCTATCCTCTGTGTCACCTAGCTGCCCTTTTAATGTGTTTATAGAACCATAAAGCTAGATCTAGAAGACAGCTCAGAGCTTGTTTAGTTCAACTCTATCACTTTACAGAAGAAGAAATTGGGGCACAGAAAGATTAAGTGACTTACCCAAAGTTATCCAGGTAACAAGCAGCAGATGCAGGACTTGAACCCAGATTCTCTGACTCTAGAACCAGACAATTCTGAACTCCAAGAACACAGATACTGATCTCGTAAGTTGTCAGCATGTAGCACCGAAGAACCAAAATTTCTAATGGACAGTAACACACGGGGGCCCAATTTTCTATTTAACATCTATTTGTTGTGGTAGTTGTTGTTGTTGTTGTTGAGTCATTTTCAGTCAGACTCTTCATTACCCTATTTGGGGTTTTGTTGGCTAAGATACTGGCATGATTTTGCCATTTCTTTCTTCAGCTCATTTTACAGATAAGGAAACTGAGGCAAACAGGGTTAAGTGACTTGCCCAGGGTCACATAGCTAATAAATGTCTGAGGCAAGATTTGAACTCAGAAAGATGAGTCTTCCTAATTCCCAGACCGATGCTCTATCCACTGTGCCTCCTAGCTACCCAGTTTTCAAAATCAAGGTGGCCCAATTTTCATTTTTCGCATAGGACAAACAAATGCCTTATCCCCACTCTTTTGGAACCAAAGATTCAAATTTTGGCGGCAGTCAGAACCACAACTAGCGATTTTTGCAACTGTGTCAATACCAACCATTCCCAATGCAAGGGGCATGAGACATACCCTCAAACCAGGACACCGACTTTCAAAAATAGAGCCGTGGGGAAAACCTGTATGAAGCTACCACAGGTGCTGTGCAGGTCAGCTAGGGAGTTCACCTGCACTACAACCCCCAGAGGAAGGAAGTGGGCCAACTTGTAGCTTCCTATTTTTAACTAATTCTTCTTGCTAACTGTGATAAACATTTATTTCTTCTGCCAAAGAATTGTAAGTGCTTTCAGTGCACTCTAAATTCTTTATCCTAGGGCAAAGTTCCATCACCCCACACTAGATACACCTTAGCCATAATGACTTGTTTCTTTACCTTCTCAAAGCTAAGAGTAAAGCAATTCGTCACAATGAGATGTCTGGAAAATACAACTTTAAGAATCCAAATCCATGTCATTATTAGTGAATGAAAGATATTTTTTTGTTGGCCTTGGTTTTCTTTACCAAGTTGCCTAAATAACACTAAATGATGTAGTATTTGTTTATCCATGTAAAACCCACTGAATCCTTACTATAATCTCCATGATAAGTGTCATGATCTGTGCACTGCCAGCCTCATAGGGTTATTGTGTGGAAGGAACAGGGCTTAGAGCTGTGATTCCAGTGGTATATAGAACTTCTGAATGAGGAAACTCTCTCTAACAAGGAGGTTGGCACCTTCTCTGCAACTTTTAGTCCTAAGAAGTTGCCTAGAATACTGGAAAAGTTAAATGATTTGCCAAGTCATTCAACCAGAATGTGTCGAAGGTGGGACTTGAACCCACGTCTTTGTGGCTCTTAGGTAAACTCTATCGCATCACTTGTGAAGAAGTGCCAGAAAGCCCTTCATAAACGCGAGGTGAGTGGTTGGTATTATAACCATTAGTGCTGTTGTTCTTGATTTTATAGTCATTATTCTCATTTTCTTCTTATATTCACTAGTTGTTATTGTTTATTGGAAGAACAAAATCAATGTTGTCAAATTTCTAAAGGGTAGTCTCATGGAAGAGGAAGTATGATTATTCACTGTGGCTCTAGAAAACAGAACTAAAAACAATGGATAAGGTTATAAGGAGACATATGATAGCATTTCTATAGCATTTTAAGGTTTGCAGGGCACTTTATTTCATTTGATCCTCACAACAACTCTCGGAGATAGATGTTATTATTATCTCTATTTTACAGGTGGAGAAACTGAGGCTCAGAGTGGTTAAGTGACTTGCTTAGAATCACATAAATACCTAGTATCTGAAGCAGGATTTAAACTTGACTTCTTGCCTTCAAGTCCAATACTAGCCATTGTGACATCTAGCTGCCTTAGAATTTGGATCAGCAAAAATAATACCTAAGTAACAGTTAGACCTGTTTAGGAGTCAGGAGGACTTGAGTTCAAATTCGGCCTCTGATACTTACCAGCTGTGTGACCCTAGGCAAGTCATTTAACCCTGATTGACCCCAAGTGGGATGCATGGTAAGTAGTAAGTTCCTCATTATCAACAGTATTCAAGCTATACAATTTCTTTGAAGGGATGTTGTAATGAGGCTTCCCACTTGAGGCAAGGGAATGGACTATATCTAAGATCCCTTCCACTTTGAAAATTCTATGATAATACTATGGAGTTCATGCTCGTATTTTGTAGGTGAAATCACATCCTAGAAGAACCAGTTATCTGTAGATTGATGAGATGGTCACTTATATGTGTGATTTCAGGGTCATAAAGGTGTCCCTTCCCTTAAAAGTGCTATGGCCTTCTCCATCTGAATATTACGTCTAAAATCCATTTAATATGTGTGAACAAAGCCTTATTTTCCCCAGTAAAGAGAAGTCTTAAAATTAAATACTGCTGGGGCAAGATAACACAAATTTAGATTTGTAT